AATTCAAACCGATTTTATAGCCTTCCAAAGTGGCCATTTTTGGCACTTCCTGTGCGAACTTTTGATCGGCCATGTTGATGCCATGTGACGTCATAAGATGAACACGATTTTATCATGGCGTATTAAAATTATAGTAAAACCAACAAACGCGGAGACGAAGGCCGTGTTTCTGGCAGTTCTAACTTAGATTATTGCACGAATTCTGAACAGCCTGAAGGAATACCCATGCATCCATTTCCCAACAAAGAAACAGATCCACAGAGTGAAAGAAAGGCAGTGAATTTTATCCGTAAACATTGACCGCGGGTTTTCACGCATCTGCGAACCTAGTAGTGTTTTGATTGACCCCGTTTTGAAGATTCGTGCTATCTCTTATTTTCATCGACAAAACCTCGTAAAATGGAAAGAATACTGAAGGAAGAAACTGTTTATACAATTTACATGGCTAGAATTGTTCCCCTGGCTAAAGTACAACTAACAGACGCAAGGCAAATAATTCAGGTATATATTATAGTGAAGTACAAATTAATATGTTCGCACACTGACACATGGTGAATATTTTGCGCAAATGATGCTATATTGTTAGTCTAAAGTGTTTAACATTTCTTATGTTTTAGAGCATTTGTGGTTGTAAAAAGGCTATCTCCTGTTAAGTTACTTTCTTGTCCAGAGCATCTTGAGATTGAAATAAAGACAACAATTCAGCATGCCTTGACGGCTTGAGTGCTTGACCTAGTTTCGTCAAGACTTCTGATGTTATTTTGAGAGAAACGATGACGTTGGAGTTATATTCAGTCATATCAATAATACATATTGCATAGCATAAAGTAACAATAAATATAATAATACAATAGTATAATATTGTACTGGTACGCTATTTATGTGAGAAATATATTTGTGACTTTGAAGATTAATATAATTTCAAAATATTACAGTAAATGTGATATTGCACAGTGGCACAATTTTGACTCAATGGTTAACTGACTCAGTCACAATCTGCCTAATCCAACTAAAGTCGACCGCTTTTCTGTTCAAACGTAAGGCAGCTGTGTCTCTGTTGTTGGAAATTATTTTCTTCTGTTTCCCATCCAAGTAAAACTATAGCCATCAATAGAACCACAGCCCGTAATTGCCAATTACACATATCGCTATCTATTGAAAACAAAATCAAAATCATTTTGAGTATTGCGAATTATTAGCTATGAATATGCTTGTGTTTATAAACGTTTTATATATTTTTGTCACACACAATCCAGTTCATACTAAATATTAAGTTACACACACCAGATGTGTTCAGACGCAATACCGAGGCATATACATACCGAGGCACAATACCGTTTATATATACATACATGCAATAAAAAGGATCTACTTACCACTAATTTTACAGGTATTGTACCATCGCTTGATTGCTCCAACACAGTCACAGATGGTAGTTGCCTATCTGCAGCGGCGTTATATAATTTCTCTATCACTTCGTCTAGTGAAGCTGTATAAAAGCTGTTTAGCCAACTGGTTCATCATCGTATTTCAAAGCCGACTTAGTCCATACTCGTTGACTTCCAGATGCAGTACTGACCCTATTATCTGAATCTCTAACCATCATTCCGCCGTCAAATAAACAATAAGATATAGCACTTGTTCTTCGATTTTTAAAAATCAGTTATCTGCGCCATAAACAAGTGAAATAGACAAGAATTCCACTGCAATATGTTGACGCGCCATATAATTTACTACAAATACGACCTTCATATCTTCGTTTCCGTTCATCTTATGACGTCACACGGCATCAATATGGCGACGGAAAAGTTCGCACGCGATAACCAACTTCAGAGGTTAAATTTGGCAACTTCTAAGCATCGCATGATGGTCAAATATATATCAAAATGCTTCTAAAAGACTGAATTTTTATTTAAGCTAAAAAAAACTAGGTCCAAAAATTCGCTGCAGTAGCACTTTAAAATCCAATGTGCCTTTTGTAATGGGATGCATTATTCTGCATCTTGCGAAGAAGTAGTGACGGTGAGCGAACGAAAAGCAATTTTGAAGGCGGGGAGAGGTTTCAGATGTCTTTATAGGGGACACCACATTCGGGATTGTAGGGGCCGCAGAAACTGTGGACATTGTAGTAGGCAGCATCATCAGTCAATATGTACAATGCATGAAACAAATTCCCTGGCTACAAATCGTGATGCAAAGGCAGAGGTTCAAGACCTCGGCAGCAAGCACAACCAAAAGAGTACATCTCACCCGAGGTGTTAACCAGTATTGTGGGGGTGGGTTATGGATATGGTCTTAGCTGTGATTGGTGGTCAATGGGAGTGGTGGCCTATGAGATACTGGAAATATCGAAATAGAAAGAGAAAAAAGGCAAGAAATTCACCGTCATAGAAGGCCACGAAATTCAAGATGGCGGCGAACCATATGTCCATGTCCCGAACATGCCATCACCACAAACCAGCCGGAACTTTACAAAAAAACAAGCTGCTGCCTGTTGTGAAACAGTTCTCAAATGACAGCATGCTAAACAATGCCATGATTGTTAACGAGACTTGTAGAAATGACAACGAATGTGTAATTTCCCTTGATGGAACTTGGCAAAGACGAGACCATATGTCGCACAATGATGTTGTTTCTGCCATCTCGTTAGATACCAAGAAATGCCTGAATGTTGAAATACTCTCAGATAAATGTCAGAATTGGCAAAAGAAAGAAAACAAACCAAAATACCAATAGTAGAAAGCTAATCGCCACTGTAAGATCAACCATGCTGGACGTGCCAATAGTATATGATGAATTACAACTTACATTCTTGCCAAAACAAAAGCAGAGAAACAATTAAAAGTAGATGAAAAACAATAGGGCATCTGAGAAAAAAAGTATATAGATGATGCTGAAGAGAAAGTAGGTGTTGTGTATGAAGTAGGGGGCTTCTGAAGCTTTACAAAGTACACTAACAGTAAACAAAACTTTTAAAGTGGATTTTCTCTTTTTAGCAATTTGACGTGTGTCAGCAATACTTGCGACATTGTAATTTTCTAGCTTTTTATTATAGAAGCTTGATATTTTGCATATTTATAGCCTGTACCATTAGCCTTGTTTTTGAGCCAGTAAATGGCATTGCCGTTGTCGAACTTGTAACTGTGTCTATTTCTACTACATTCCGTATATTACTGTCATTGTTTTCGATACTTATCGTCGCTGGGGTGTTATCGATACTACCACTCGTATTCTCGCTTATAACGCTCGTATTAGAACTATTAACTTCGCCTGAACTTGCTGTTGGTTGACTGTTGCATTTGCCATGCATAAACCATTTGATATCCTTGATTGCACTAAAAATTCGAGCAACAATTTCTGTGGATTCTTCGATTTCGCTTTCAATGTCTTTTATGTCACACAGTCCGAGTATTTCCTCATCGATATCGTTCAGTATTTTCAATTTTTCTTCCAACAAACTCTTGATCATTTCGCGTCGACTAATGTCACCATTCTCGGGTGATATTGCTAACTCTTCGGCTTCCTTCGCTAGTTTCGTACATACTCCTCGATGCCCTTCCTCGCTTTGCTCGAAGTCGATCCAAACGTTCCTTCGCTTCTGACATTTTTTCAATCGTTTGGGTACAGCTTGAATATCAAACTGGACCCACGTTGGGCGCCACATAATAAAGCTTCAAACTGACAATATATCACAGTCTCACAGTATCACCGTCTCACAGATAAGAAACAAAAAAATATGTGTAAATATGCATGTTTTAAATCGAAAAGCTAAGACTAAAGCCAAAGAGACTTAGTTCCACTTCAATCGTCAGTACAGATTATTACCCAAATGCACATTACCCTGACCATGCAGTGGAGACAACTCCTTGCTGCTCCTAGGTCGAGTGCTTCTGTTTTGATGAAATAAATTTCACAAAATATCTGATCTGAGCAGATACGCAGGAAATGAATGCAAGAAACTATTTTTAAACATAATTATTCCAATTTTTATTTCAATTGTTTTAAGTGCACAATGTCACTGAGAAAGCTCATAGACACAAAGAAGATATGAAAGCCGTCACGTTGGACGATAGAAAGAAAAAGAGGGAAAACAGCACGTGCAAACACACAGCACCTTGACGGGAAATACTAATATACAAAAAGAAATGATCAAGGAGGTGGACACCTTCCAAGCCAATTTTACGTAACACAGCAACTGTGTTATTCTATTACAATTCAATTTATCAAAAATATATGTCATATTATTATATATTGACACATTGTTATATTAATTCTAATCCATGTGTTATGAAAAATATCTTACTTCATTATAATTAAGTAATGAAGAATACAGATTGTTGGAAAGTGGAAGAAATCAAATATATTATTACTTACGTAATATATTACTTACTTATATCTTACTCAATTCACATTTATAGATTTGGAAGTTCAGTGTATGGAACTGGGCGGTTATTTGTGTTCACAACATTCTCAACATGTCCTTTAAAGATGCCCAGTTATTCTTTTCTGGTATTCCAAAATGTTTTTTTCTTTCCTGCCATCAAAAGATCACTCATGCATGTATTATGAAATTTGGAATCATGAACATTCGAGTATGTGCACAGCTGCGCTTGCATCGGATAGGGTGACAATTTGTAGACACTTAATTTGATTATATTTATTATTGTATAGAAAAAACCTCGCATTGGGCCAGTCGATATAACTGCTTAATCTGATAGGTTTAAAATTTATATGTTGTATTTTATAGTAGCTAATCCTTACTAAACCCACTTGCCGAGAAGCTTGTATTCAATGACAAAAAGCAACAGGCTGGCACAGTTATCAGGATGTTATAGATGACCCACGTTGGGCGCCACATAATAAAGCTTCAAACTGACAATATATCACAGTATCACAGTCTCACGGATAAGAAAAAAAAAAGTGTAAATATGCATGTTTTAAATCGAAAAGCTAAGACTAAAGCCAAAGAGACTTAGTTCCACTTCAATCGTCAGTACAGTTTATTACCCAACTGCACATTACCCTGACCATGCAGTGGAGACAACTCCTTGCTGCTCCTAGGTCGAGTGCTTCTGTTTTGATGAAATGAATTTCACAAAATATCTGATCTGAGCAGATACGCAGGAAATGAATGCAAGAAACTATTTTTAAACATAATTATTCCAATTTTTATTTCAATTGTTTTAAGTGCACAATGTCACTGAGAAAGCTCATAGACACAAAGGAAGATATGAAAGGCGTCACGTTGGACGATAGAAAGAAAAAGAGGGAAAACAGCACGTGCAAATACACAGCACCTTGACGGGAAATACTAATATACAAAAAGAAATGATCAAGGAGGTGGACACCTTCCAAGCCAATATTACGCAACACAGCACTGTGTTATTCTATTACAATTCAATTTATCAAAAATATATGTCATATTATTATATATTGACACATTGTTATATTAATTCTAATCCATGTGTTATGAAAAATATCTTACTTCATTATAATTAAGTAATGAAGAATACAGATTGTTGGTAAGTGGAAGAAATCAAATATATTATTACTTACGTAATATATTACTTACTTATATCTTACTCAATTCACATTTATAGATTTGGAAGTTCAGTGTATGGAACTGGGCGGTTATTTGTGTTCACAACATTCTCAACATGTCCTTTAAAGATGCCCAGTTATCCTTTTCTGGTATTCCAAAATGTTTTTTTCTTTCCTGCTATCAAAAGATCACTCATGCACGTATTATGAAATTTGGAATCATGAACATTCGAGTATGAGCACAGCTGCGCTTGCATCGGATAGGGTGACAATTTGTAGACACTTAATTTGATTATATTTATTATTGTATAGAAAAAACCTCGCATTGGGCCAGTCGATATAACTGCTTAATCTGATAGGTTTAAAATTTATATGTTGTATTTTATAGTAGCTAATCCTTACTAAACCCACTTGCCGAGAAGCTTGTATTCAATGACAAAAAGCAACAGGCTGGCACAATTATCAGGATGTTATAGATGAAAATTATAAGTGTTTTCAAGCAAAACCTGCTTACTTGTTTTGGTGTAAACAGAAAAACTAAAATAGATAGATAAACTTTATTTAAACACGCTCACCACATGAAATTTAAAATGAAGTACTGCATCTGAAATTGACCAGAAGACCTTTAGGATTTGGAAAGTCCTAATTTACAAGTCTTTTTTCAATTTGTGAATGAAAAACATAACAGTCAAATGGATTTTTTTACCGATTGCCATTTCATTGTTATATTGAATGTGTAAAAAAAATATGTGGCCAAAAAAATTCACGATTAATTTGCAACGAAAAAGCAGCCATTTTGTCAGTGTTTCCACTTTGTAAAAATGAAATTTCCTTTTCAGCAAAGGAAATTCACATTTTTTAACTCCGGTTATAAATATAACATTCTTAAACACAAGCATGTAACACACCCTTACAGAAACACACACACAATATTTGAAAATAAAAAGAAAAAGAAGACTTGCCCAAGGGAACATCGATGTCATTCTCAAAGGTTCTCGCTTTATCACTCGTTCATGATGATACTGAATCCTCCTCGCCTTTGGTTGAAATGAGTCGATGATGTTAATTAAAACACCCAAGACATTTACGAATTGTTGGAAGTAGGAGATGTTAGCGACTCTGGTCATGTTGAAGACACGTCTGGTGCAGTATAGTCGGACATGTCGCATACAATGATGGCATGCAATCTGAAAAAGAACGACAAAGATATTATTATTATTATTATTATTATTATTATTATATCAATTACTGCACAATTGTTAAATACACTTAGGCGTTAAAAAAATACCTGTGGTTCAGGTTTCATATCGTGAAAAAATTAGGGTCGGTATAGGTTGGAAATAAATTTTG